TTCACTAATTTGCAAATCGTCATGAGGAAACGGCGAAACAGAAAATTTAGTGCAATTTTTTTGTAGCTGCCTTGAAATAGGAGACAAGTTCATTAGCAAATCGAGTTCTTTCCGATTTAGGTGGTCCCTCATTGCTACAGTATCCTTTTGAGAGTTATTCGCTTCTAGGTTACGAAGGAGCCGTTGCAGTAGAAACAACCGAATCGTATGTGCTGCTCTTCGAGAAACGAGCTTCTGGTGATGAAGGCAATACCTCTTCACGTGAATGACGTATGCCATATCCAAAATAGATGCTCATTCCTAAAATTTATATGCATTTTTTTGTTATTTCATTGGCCATCCTCAGTGAATTACAATGCGGGTTTCGTTTTGTGTAATGTAATAAATGTAATGCAAACTATACCGATAGTCATCCAAAAAGCAATTCGAAGCCATGTGATCGGCGCCAAATGAAGCATCATGAGAGTGTTGATCATAAGACTAAGTGCAGGAACCAGTGGTACTAATGGCACCTCAATTAGAAAACACATAGTGAGTGATAGACTTGGTAGAGATTTTTGATACTCAAGGTGTCATTATGCAACAATTGTAGGGATCGGGCCTCACTCGAGATAGTTGCTCTAATTGTACAAACAAGAATTTCAAAGCTTAACAAGAGTATTCTGATCTTGTGGAATAATTTCAACTATACAAACTGGAAATGCTTAAAAGTGTGTTTGTGAATCTCTTTGCTAATGTTATGTCGACTTAAGTTGCATTATTAATCAATACGGAAATTGCTGCTTATTCAAAGTCATTAGATTCTCTTATTTCGAGTTGAAAATACGAGGCTAAAACTTCGCAAATGAAATGCTTGAGAACGCTAAGGGATTATGCTTTTGGAGAGGGGATTGAATTTTATCAACTATATTTAAAAGTTATTTGGCAATCAAATCTAGCTCTTAACTTGTCATCTTAGAAGTTTGCGCAGGTAGATCAACTTTAAAAGGGTGGACATCACTTGGTGGAGTTGTTGCTATCAAATTGCCCAGCTTTTTTAGTTCACATGTGGACGCGTTATAAAGGATTAAGAGATCATTTTGTTTTTATTACAATCTTGCGTCAGCGTTGAAAAAAGTGAGATCGAATAGACTAAGTTCTAAACCTTTCGTCGCTTGCGTGGCAATCACAATTATAAAAT